CACAGATGGCGCAGAATCACTATCAGTAAGAGATATATTGGAGATATCATGCGCTAGATTAAAACATATATGAATTAATAACACCCTCATTTAAAATAATAAATTTCATATTAATTATTAAATTACCAAGCCCCGCAACTTGAATATTTTTCGCATCAAGTTCATCATCTGCATCTGATATCTCATCACTCCAAACATATCCTTGCCCATTTTCACCAACCAATGTAGCGTCATAAGCTAAAACTACAATTGTAAATATTAGGAAAATATTTGTTAAAGAAGATCAACATTAATAGTTACTAACCATTTTCATTTGACTCTTCCTCATCACTATCAATCTCTGTTTTCTTTTGTTTTGTGAGTTTTGTATATGGTTCTAATGTCACATTGGGTCCGATAATTACCTAAGAATTATAAAAGGTTAAATAATTAACCGCAATTTAATTTAATATTGACATCAAAAGATTTACTTACACCATAAGAAAGTATGCATCCTTTTTTAACGATTACATTCTCTTCCAGGACAACGTTATTCGCCAGTATCGATTGGACAACAGAACAATTTGATTTGATTTTTACGTCATCCCAAATATAAGCACCATCTATTTCAACGTTTGGACCTGATATAGATAACAAATAAAATCACAGAAAATTTAAGTTTCAATTTTCATTTTTATTTATTATTATTTTGGAAGTACCTATCGTAACTCTTCGACCGATGACAGAATTTGTTATCTTAACATTTTCTGTAATCTCTGTACCGGCACCGATCAATACCTTCTCACCAAGTGAGCAGGATCTGATTGAATTATAAAGAAATAAATATTACTAATATAAACAATTAAACTTCAAATATTTGAACATCAAATACCTTGATAATGAAACATCTTTCTCTTTATAAATATGCCCACGCATAAACTCATAGTTATCTCCTTCTTGAAGATTATTGTCTGGGACAATAGGATAAGTCCATCGAGATAATACATCTTTACTAATTATTACAAAATGATACTTTCAATCAATGAAACAAAATAAGCATAACAAATGGTTTCCGTAAATAAATTGTTATAAACCTGATGGCATCGTATGTATACAAATTTCGTACTCTTGCAGCATAAACATCTTTAACAAGATGGCAATAAATGGTTTTCCCCAATAAATCAGATGTCAAAATACCATAAACAAAATCTTTTCGAATATCTTGATAATCAAAATTCTCTGTGAATAAAGCTAGTACCTAATATGAATCCAAGATAATTAATTTTATTATAACAGCAAAGGTTTTCCTTTATGAATTTATTTACCTCTACTGAGCATATATCAACCTGGCAATCTATAAGATCATTGCGTATTTGAACATCGGTATGCTTTTTGAATACTTCCATATCCATAACCATGCGACGTTTACGCGGATAGAGCTCCACGGATTCACAATGAACGCATTCATTAGTTTTCCCATCTATTACGAAAATTGGTGATTCACCTAAAGATCTGAAAAAAAAAAAGAGATTACAAATTTAATGAAACATTTCAATTCAGAACTTAACCAAGAAACATAAATTACCTTGTCCTGTGAAAAGGACTTGCTTCTTTAACTACCTATATAATTCATTAAATGTAAAATATTTTTTAACATTTTAAATATAAAACATGTAAATTCAATATTTTTATACCATAGTCATTATTGTATTATTATCAACAGATTTTCGAGTTCTTTATATAAAATTAAATTAATTATAACATTTAAATTGAATAAAAATGCAAGCATTAAATTAGCATAAAATTTACCTGTGAGCATCCAATACTTTGTTTAAATGTATGTTTGATACAACATCGCCGTATATGAGAATAAAATCGGAACTAATTAACTGTTTCGCATCTAATTCTCGCAGTGCATCACCAACTGAACGCGCTTCAGGCGTTATGATAGTAATTATTTTTATTGGAGAATATGATCGACTCCATTTTGACTTTCTGGATTGATAAATTAACGAATTTATTAATTCATACTTAAAGCTAAGCTCACGATCGCTAAGTTTATATAAAAATAAACTGCAAAACTTACTTGATATAATCTTTTATTATTTCAGAGTGTTCTCTACAAAATAAATAAGCTTCTTGTACACCAGCAACAGCAAGAAGTTCTAAGGTATATTCAATGAGTGGTGTGTTGCAAAGTGGTAAAAGACACTACAGGGTTGAGGCGACGTTATAATAGTGTGGAGTATGAAATAATCTCTAATCACAGAAAAATCATACTCGTGGCCTATCAAGGGTTATGGGACGGAATCGTTCATTAAAGCTATCAGCAAGAATGACGGCCTGTAACGTACTTTCGGATTCCAAATTTTTGCCAGAAGTTTTAGGTGGTGACATTTCAGTATATATATACCAAAAGCAAATTTTACAACTCGTTGAATGATTATCTATTTAATAAGAAAAAATTTTTGACCAATTAAATTAATACAAATAAACGCGTGACTATAGGGCTAATCAAGTTCTTTGGCTAATCCGAGTAAAAATCTCTGATCCGGATATCTGGATTTAAAGATAAATTCGGATAGTCGGATTAGGGTTCGAAGCTCTAATCCAAACAAATACTGTATCTACGATTAATGTTTCGACTCTCTGAATCGATAAATTCAGATATTCAGATTAGAGATTTTTATTCGGATTGGTCAAAAAAGAACCTAAGAGTGTACACAAAAGCTGGCTTTATATATAGTCTAATGCGAATTCAACCTGTCAAAAATAGGATCGAAACACTATCGATTAACAGACCCTGATACGTAAAAATTAAATATTAAGCTCAGATCGTATAAGATTATACCAACTAAAATTGAACAGTTAGTAATAAAGTTTATTTAAATATTTAGATACGTATAAAAACTCGCAAAACTAAAAACTGAAATGTAATCAAAATTTCGAATTCAATTATAACCAACTTATGTTCAGACCATTTATATCAATTCAAATGCGTGAATATGATTAAAACCTTAATATCATATAATGTCTCGTACACTATAGGACAAGAATACTCGAGAATTTATTTAGCAAAATTGAGTTATAATTGACAATATATAAAGAAAAAAACTAGATTATTACTTTGTTTTTTTGCTTTTTTGATCAGAGTAAGTAGGTATAATTTCACGTAGTGCTGTCACTAATTTATCGTTAACTTGAAAAAGATTCGGATTTTGATTGAATTCAGTACGGCATTGCGGACATTTATGACCATCAGCTTTAAACGCACGTTGAAGACAATCATGACACACGTTGTGTGTACAAGGAGTTGTAATAGGCGCTTGAACAAGTTCTAAGCAAACGGGACACTTAAACTCTTCGTCCACAATAATTGAAATAAATTCAGCCAAAGTTTGGTATTCTTTTGAAAGAACAATCTTCCATGCACGATTATTCTTCTTATCTTTTTTAATCGATGCAATTAATGCGGCAGGTGGGCTATATTTTGCAATTTTAATTTTTTTAGACGAAGTGCCACTGCTAGATGATCCATTTTTAGAACCATTAGCATCCTCCGAATCATCTCTAGAACGTTTCTTCATTTCGAAACCTTCGGGGAGATACATTTTCAACCCTAAATCAACAATTCGCTTTTTTCCTTCTTTAGTCCACGGAGCCGGTTCCTCATCATCACGACGCATTCTATACCGCCATACATAAAAGCCAGCCGTTCCCTTCTCTCTCCAATATTCAACCAATTTATATAAACCATCATAACGTATGCCATCTTCTGGTGCATATTTGGGATTATGCTTTTTTAATCCTGCTGATCGACAGACTCGAATTGGTTTAC